TCGAAACGTCAGGCGAATAAACATATTGTCCCAGCGATCGAGTTTTCTTCTTTTCAACCTTGATTATGTACATTTGCGTGTATTCTTCCTACTAACAAACGGGTCAAAGGAACTAAATCGAGCGATTTCTAGACGGCCAACATCTCCGAAATTACTTTTATGCTTTTCATCGGGTACGTTTGCCTATTCCTAGGTGCCAGTGTGGACACGGACTTGACTCCACTCAGCAATCCGCCGCTAACAAATGTCAAATGGTTCCAGCGAATGGTCGAGCCAGACACAATGAATCCGTGGCTGGACATCACATCGCGCATGATGGGCTCCCCTTCACCAGAATTTGCTCGATTCAGGTTGTCCCGTGCCAACGTAGACCATATGGCGAGTTACAAACTGACAGCCACAAATCCTATCGGCGCGACCGATCTCATCTTCTTCCTCAACGTAACGCGTAAGTATCACACTCGAGTCACCTAACCGAAACGTTTTCAACAGCCATACAGCAGGTCAGTCCTGTGTGAGTTTAAGATTCTACTTCCATAAACAGAAACAGTATTCCGGTAGTAAACTCCTTAAGGGTCAGCTTCCATAGGGAATATCCAACCCATTGTAGTTGGTGTTACGCAATTCTGGAAAGTTGTACTCTCTCTCTCTGAGGTTCGTCGGGTTTCTGTTATGATCAAAATTCATTATTTTACCCTTAGTGCTATTCGCAACATCCGGCTGTTTCTTTTTTCTTTGTTACTACTTTCCAAACAAAAGCAGTTGCTAAGGCTAAAAATGCAAATTTCAGTCGCGAAGATGACATCAGTACAGCTGTTTTTTTATCTCACATAAAGTCCTCTTCATTTTGGTGCTTCGGTCGTGTAAAGCCGTCCAGTTTTGAAGAAATACATCTCCCTATAGGCTTTTTAGTTTTCTAAGAAAACTTTACATTTATATTTTATTTCGATATGAACAGCAGAAAAAAGGCAGCCTTCACTTTAGCCGACAGCGTAAACTTTTAAAAGCAATTTTGGCATTCGGGGCGGACTTCCTCCTCGCCATTCACGTGAATGGCCGAATCTGGTATCATCAGTAAACTGCCTGTGAGCTCCGAATCTTAGATTGACCCTAATGCTTTCACTGCATTTCCCCGGGGACTTTGAACAGCTTTCCTTCTTGGAGAGATTAACTGGCTTGATTGCACACATAGCTACGTAAAAAATGTCGGCGGACATTTCCTTTCAAGAGTAAATTCTTTACTACAGAAAGCTTCAATAAAATCATGTTGCTCCAAGCAACACGGACTTGTGCTTTGTCCTAAAATATATGGAAATGAGAGTCTGAGGAAAAAAACGTCCGAATTGCCTGAAAACATGGACAGCCAGAAGCAATACTCTCAAATCCAATACCCATTCCTCCGACTACCATTTCACTTTGATTCAAATATAGCGCAGCTGAAAGTACACTCAACTGAGCGTTATTATAACAAGAGAATATAAATTAGCGGTGGACTATGTGTCCAACTAACCAATCCTCTGTTAGGACAGTTGAATAGAATGAGCCAAAATAAAGACGCACCGGACATCTGAGAAATTTGGCGGGAACGGGTGATTAGTAATATATACTACGCCTCCTGGGGTCAGAGTAGGCAGAATACATCAAAATGCCTAGTCAGCGTAAACCAAATCAGATCTCGGCAGTGCTTAAAGCTCACCTACTATGATTTTATCAGCTCTCTCAATCAGCAAACGGTTTATGGCCGTTAAAAATTAACTGTCTCCAGGTATACGGAAAATGGACGAGAAGATGGTAAGGGCAGTGGACTTCTTCCTCGGCAAGTAAATACGCACACGAGCAAATTACAGTGTGTAGCCTCATGGTCTGCCCTACGACGGAAGGATGTTTGAGGGCAAACAAGATGTAATTTCGTTTACTTTTCACTTCAGGGGACGCCTTTTAAAAACATCTGCTATTCGGGCTTAAAAAGGAGACAAAAAGGCTTTTTAGAGAATGAACAGCTGAAGAATGCACTCATATCCTTCGGATAAAAAAATGTACTATATAAATCTGGCAAGATCAGACTGTAGTAGAATTATTTTAAATTGTAACAATCGTGTCGCGAAAATGTGTGCGTAATCCTAAGCCCTAGTTCCTGTATAAAATCGCTGCATGTGCTCATGCCATTTCATGTTGCTGCAATGTCCGCATTATCACGGAGAGTCCATTAGAGTCCTTTTGGAAACAAAATCACTTCCATAGGTATGCCTGTATGTAGGCGTCGGCGGCGTCGCTTAGCAACGACAGGTATCCTTTGAATAGGCCTTTCAATTCATCCTACCAAATCCGGCCGTTTTGCGTGTTGTCCTACACCAGACCGCACTTTTTTTACGAAGGTAGTCTGCATTTGCAGCAATAAAACTGTCAAATCTGGCGCTCCTACTTTCCGGTATAGATGGCCGCATCTAAATATGTGTATTATCGTGAGAGCGTCGTTCGCAGCTGGGCTTTTCAAATATCCGCGTCATTTTGGGACCTGCAGCCCATATCTAAAAACTTTCGCAATCGATCGCGTGGCGACCAGAAATAGCACAGAAAAGATCGAAAACAAAGAGAGGGGAATGGTTATCTCTGCCATTATCATGCAACCATATCAAACTCCAGGTTCGCATAACCTATACCTCGAACGCAGACTTTGTGGTCACGGAGCGTCAGGTTTAAACTCTATCACTACGTTTGTTCGAGGTTTCACTGTCTCTCATCGTTTCCGCTCATGAATAAACAAATGGTAAAGCGTACCACATTTGATTGATATTTTAACACTGAATGTATGCTCTTCGGACATGCAGTAGAGGGGGCCAGTCAGGGAACCTGTACGGGACCCTACAAATCGTTTGTCAATTCAGTGGCATTATAGAAGTTCGTGTCTCTAGGAAAGGACCGTTTAGATAGTTATTTCTGCTTGATAACAAACCGTTTGAGACGTTAGGCTTTTAGACTAATCATCCTGAGATGAAAATTTAACGCATGGAAAATCACGAAAGCCGCCACTTCAAAAAATATAAAGAGGGAGAAAGGGAAGAGGAAGAAAAAAAGAAGAAAACTAAAAAAACTCGTCAGCGTTTTCATTTTCAAGACACACTGACGAACGAATTCAAACCTCATAAAATTAAATTTTGATTTCCCTTTGTTGATGGGCTTTTGAATGCATTTGCAGCCTGTTTCCTCTTCATACAAGTAAGCTGTATCGTCAGTTCCTAGTTCCCTGATACACTTTGTTGTCTAACCAACTGAAGTGGTGTATGCCACAGCAATCAAACCAACAGGCTCGCTTATTCCATCCAGGGCCAGACATTTTTAGAATAATTCGGTTGAGCCAATTGTGAAAAATCCGCGGCCTCGGTGGGAGTCGAACCCACATGGCAGGGAAGGCTTTGCGCAGCCAACACTCTACCACTGAGCTACGAAGCTCACCGTGCACTGTGAATTTAATCACACTTGGGGCTATTTTCTTGCCCAGTTTTAAAAGAATTTTATTTTCTGAGATAAAACAGAAGCAGAGGGCAAGGAACTTATTTTCTTTTGCTCCAAAGTTCCTGATAGCTAGGAGTTTTTGGACCTTCCTCGGGCACGATTTAATAAGGGCAATTTGGTAGCCAACTTCACCCTTCAGCCGAAACTGTCAAAGTTCTAAAACATGCAAACTTGATCCGCTATCTGTCCTTGTTCCCATTTAGATGCTCCTCGACTGATCGGTGACCCAGTAATTAATGTTACCACCTCCGGCAAAGAGGCCGAACTCGAATGCCGAGTGATGGCAAACCCTCCACCGAGACCGTCTTCTGTCTACTGGCGACGGGTGACCGATGAGGCGGTTCCAAAAACGGTGCCCCCTCGGGGTGACTCGCAGCAGGAAACGAAAAAACAGTCTTCAAAAGGTCCTGTCGTTCCTGCGATTTCCGACATGAAATGTAACCAGGTACTGTTGGCGACATGCTCCACTTATACGTATTACATGGCAGCCTTCCCAATCAGGGCTGCATAGCAAGGCTGGGTGTATACTTTCGCACTCCCCCTATCGCACGGGGATCCTAAGGCGGTAGTGGAGTTGATTTTCAGGACACTTTCATTTGCACTCGCTTCCGCTCATGCCACTTCTCCACTTCACTCTCAAGCGAACTCTCTTCCAGCAAACGAAAGAGTCGGTATTAGTCCTTCCATTCAATTTCTTCTGTGTGTGCGTACCATTTTTCCGCTATATCGGTTTTTCTGACCAAGTGCACCAGCTTGTCTGCCCTGTAGACTAAGTTTTTCAGATAATTTATCTTTCTAATTTGTCATTTCTTAACTTAGCCTTTCCTTTGCGTATAATTAGCCACACCTTTTTTTCTTCTAATTTTCCTTCCCTCAGTAGTTCTGTTGTCACGATTTTTTAACCGAAAATAGTTAGCAGTGGCGCATTTTGTTGCTAACTTACGACTTTCACCTTTTGCCTTCCTCCTCGTCGTCGGACGTATCTTTAGATTATATGACTGACGATGCGCTTGATCAGCTGAGTACGAAAAAGTTCATTTTCTTTCATTTACCGGCCTTTGATTGAGGACCGTCGGTCCGAATAGAGTGCGTTCCAAACAAGTGAGAACCAGAGGGCTATCTAAATAATTCCTGATGATATTATCTGTGGTTCAAAATTTTGCCAGTTTCTATCGCTTTGTTGTGGCCTTCTTGAAACCAAAATAGCCTTGTTCAAACAATAGTTCAATACTTACACATTCAAGGCGGAGTGGCAGATCTCATGTTCAGGGACGACGAAGCCTACGTAAACTCTGTGCTGTAGACTAAGTCATTTTTGTCGATTTCTATAATGTTACAAGAGTATTTAGACCAGAATGGTGGAAAAGCTCCTGTTTTATTTTTAACTTGAGCGTTCAGATCTGTTAAGCACGTCTTCTTACTTTTTTTGTAATTTTAGGAACTTCTGAGTGGGCCGATTAAGTACTACGTAAAATGTTTTTCACCGGAGCCCTTTTATCTGGTCAGCACGTTATTCATAACAAGTGTTGACCCTAGCGACGTTGGACGATATGAATGCTTCGTTGACAATGGTATCGGCTCGCCGGTGGTTCGGGCAATCGATCTAATTTACCCATGTAAGCCCTTATTGCATTCGCTGTAAGCTTTTGCTTATGATGTATTGTTTTTGTTTGATGCAGACTTGTCATTAATCTGTGTATATGGCATACATATGTGTATATATACTGTGGTGTCTCCAGTAGCAGGATGATGCAAAAGCCGGATTAACAAAGCGATAATTCATCCATGTAAGGGCGTATCTGCATTCCCACGCTATTCGAACGCCTAAAAACGCACTGCAGCGCAGCCGCTGGAAAGATAACGCGGTAATTATAGCTCTACGACTGCCTCCGAACAGTCTTACCTCACAATCCCGAATTTTCAAAGTAAGCGGTTTCCAAAGACGGATCGACTGATCACACGAATAACAACCAAGGTCTGAATAGCTACCTTTTAATGTGATTATATTTCAGAGACAGTTTTCCGACGACTCAACTGCCTGGGAAACACAAATCGAAAACCACACTCATGCACCAGAGAGCTCTACTGTGATTTAAAATAACCACTGACATCAACGTAGATGATGACTTCTTTAAAAAAAAACCGAATAGAGACTGAAAAGCGGACTTCGCAAACACCACCTGGCCCCGGAGTGCAACCACTAAAAACCTCTAATGATCAAGGAGCATGAGAAGCTATGCCAAGGCTTCGATGTCAAAGTTTTGCGACATATTTGGTCTAGGCAGTAGGCAGGAAGTATGGCGCAATGTTGACGTCCTGTCTAGAACGTCCTATTGATCCAACCGTCTAAGCAGTTTGTGAATGCGAAATGTTAGTTGGGAGGAGGACACTGAAATAATGCCTGATGGACCGGGGGTAGTCTCAATTATAAAGAGTCGACGGAATAATATAGCAGAAATTAGAGCCAGAGCATGAGGTACACAACCGGTGAACAGCCTGCCTCGTGTCTTCTGACTGCCTACACGTTGCCATAGATGTACTGCTCATATCAAGCGAAGTAAACACGCTCATCTTTAATTGTGTTCAGTTTGGCTATATAACCGTACAGGGCTAGGGAGAACTTATAGAAATGGGGTGTTTACAGCATTGTCTTCCTCCGGACTATCTCTTATGTTTACAACGGGGGCCACGTTAAACTTTTCGGGGTGGTTTTTGTTAAAGAGATAAAAGGTTTAACAGTATAATGCCTTACGCAGAAATTAGCATCAGTTTTAAGTTATTTATTGAAACAACATAAAGTTAGTGTAAATTTTTCAGACCCACTTGTGAGTAAATGAGACCTTCGTAGCTGAAAACTGGAACTAATCGGAAAACAGCAGTTATACTTTCAGGGAAAGTTTGAGAGATAAAAGGAAATGGTGACCTACTTTGTGTTTTCCATTTGTTGGAAAGCAAATGCGTTCACACTGTGTTCGTCATTAGCTCATTTTATTAAACCTGAAGGGAGGTCTTTGGCGTGTAGCCCATTGTCTTTCCGTAAGTTAACGTGGCCTTCATTAAGTGGAAGAAACCACCTGAGGGTTTTCAAATAATTAAAAACATTGGATTTTTTGAAAAGTACATGAAGGAAAGTTCTTTAGATCGATGTATCAATTAAGACGGTAAATAACCTTTGCAAAACTGGGTGCGTGCACGAAAACATTCCCAAAACGTTACAAGTGTTTATTGATGGTAATAATGCTAATACATTCAGAATTCAAGGTTTGTTATCCAGCGCGCAATGGTAATTCGTCTTTTCAGGAAACGTCTTTTCAGCTTCCTACCACTTTTTGGAGATCTCTGTATTACCCATCGCCATGCGATCGTCTACAGGGAGCCTGCCGTGGGCTTCACACAACCAGGAAGGCCGTATATTGTTGTACAGCCGGATGGTAGTTCCATCAGGCATCAGTATTTGTAATCGTGAGCAATAGATCATATTTCAGGTATAGGCTAAAAGTCCTCGATCGACTTAAAAATTCTGGCAAGTGTTTCAAGCTTTTGGGTATTTAATTAGCAAATCCTAATGTACTGTAGGCGGATCATGTATGTCCTTTCAGGTCTTTTATCGTTTAGAGGGACTCTGCTGAGCAGATAGCCTCTTAGAAAATATTGCTCAACTACAAGTCAGTTCATTCACAAGTATTTTAGCCTTCGTAGATCTGTTCTCAACTCTCTCAGTTCAAGGTCAAAAGGAACTACAATGAACTATTTGAGTCATGGTTCATGGGTCCCAGTCGATTAAAAAGTGCATTGACCTTCCCACTCCACCTTCGCTGTTGGGACTTAGTTTCGCCGAAGTAGTTGACAACTGGGAATGCACGCACGCGAACGCTGGTTTCAACGCCAGTGCTAGTTAACGAAATGGCCGAAAAATCATGCCACCAACATTCGACAGGGGTGATACAATTTCCACGTCTGACGACTCGACTGCCGGCCATCAAGTAATTATTGCACCAAAGACTTATCACCCTTAATGAAGGGAGAAGTAAATTGCCATAGGTAGGCTACTGCATCCCAAACGTACTGCAATTACTGATGTATGGAATACCCGTATCTTTTGTGTGAAGAAGAAGCTTTTTCGAACACTGGAATCATGATTTTTCTGGTCTGAGCTTTCGGGCTCCTGCCGGAGTCCATCGTCAGAGATTGGAAAACAGCAACAGATGGGGTGGATAGTTGTGGCGTGTGTGGCCGTATGGAGTTGGCAATGAATTTGAATAAAGCTTTTGGTCCAGCAATCGCGTAAATTCTCCTCAGGGGAACGTATCTCTTACACAATATTTGAGCATATAACTGTGTCCTCCAATCGGACAGCACTAATTTCTCTATAGTAAGAAGCCTATACTTACAAAACATCATCAAATTTCTGGTCAAACTACTGTTAGGTTGATGCTTGTAGCTGTATGAATCTGCAATTAGACCGCCGTATAGCGGTGGTCCGTTTATGGAGTCAACGTGTGGAACAATGCTTATTAGAGATTATTTGAATTTCGGCATTTAATTAATGTTCATAATTACATTCCTCATGAGTCGGGTAACTGAAGACATAAATAAGGTGAGTGGGATATATAACGTCCCACTGCGCATCGTTTCAATTGATAAAATAACTTTTCTCCTGTTTTTTGCTTCGGCTAATGGACCTAATCGTAGATGAAATTCAGTCTACTGAACCTCCCGCACCACTTCAGTTAAGCCGCCGACCGTACGGAGTTTAGAAGGGAACTTCAAACGCGTCCCATCTACAGACCTGTTCTCACTCGAGTGAGTCGCATGGAAAAAAATAAGGAGATCAGTTACAAACATACCTACGAATCCTGACTATCATTCTCTGCAATCGAAACTTCGTTTGGCGTTGCAGAACTACTGGTAGTAATCAAGGCTTAAGCCAGCACAATATTAGACCTCACAATTTGTATATCGCAAATAAGTGTTTATGGGAAATAGATCTCAAATGCAGGAGGCGCAACTGGGTCTGTCCTCGATTTCCCCACTTAAACAGGAGCATTTAAAATAAACAGTGTGTAACTTCAACCTCCCCTTTCAATGCTGGGCCCAAGCAGTGGGATGAAATGACAGGAAGTGTGCCTGGTAGGACTGCTGGACCAACAGGGTGGCGAAATGCAAAATCTCAGGTTGGCTGATACAACCAACGCACTTTGTATGTTGACTTCCTCTTGTGTGTTTTATAGGAAGCGTAACATTTAGGGAAAGTAAATTTCTGTAAAAGAGCGGCAATATTTCAATATTTTGTATGGTTGTGGTAGAAACTTTTGAAATGCTGACAGAAAAATATTTGAACAGACTTTCGAAGGAAAAACGTGCTTGCATACTGTCGCAATACCGATGAACAGGAAGTATGATCCCGGATTTACTGCTACAGCTTAGCCTGCTGGCTTTCAGTGAAACATTATTTCAGCCACCCATATAAATCAAAATGGTAACGCAGACACTATTTACCAGATATTTATTTTTCCATTCCTGTTCGATACTTGAGTATTTCGTGGAGGGAATACATATAATTTTATTTCCTCAAAGCTTGAAGCAAGCGTTGGTTCTAGTCTTAAAATGTACTTGGGACTGTATGTTGGATCGATGCGTGTTCTGGGCTTATTTTTACTCTTAAGTTTTTAAATATTTTCATACTTTCTTTCTAGATCAAACTCAAACTATCTTCTAAATCTTATATAGAGCAGTATTTCGACCAAAAAATATTTTACACTAAAATATCGGAAGACGGTGTTATGCACAAACTGAATATGAAACTAGTGTATTTGTATGTCTTGAGGTGATTTATCCCAGAGGGAAATTTTTATCGATATGAATGTTTGTTCAAGCCTAACCCACGCGGAGAGGACACGAGGTACTCAAATAAAAGCTGACATCCAATTAAGTGTGAAGTAAGACTAGGGTATAATCCACGTTTAGCAGTCTTTCATTTGTACGTGAGCATTTTGTCGTTTTGAAGCACATCTAAGGCTTTCGTTGCTTTCTCATGGGTTTGACCTTGGAACCAATTTATTTAATATGTATAGTTGTCCATTTTTATTAGATATCATGCAGACGCCCAAACGTGGTTTTTATTTAACGTTGTACTTAAATAGAATTCCATGCCGGAATGGTATCCGTAGACATCAATATGTAACAATGTAAATTTTGTTCATAGATAATAGCGTGCCTTCTGCCAGTTACATTTTTTCAGACCTCACACCGCTTCTATTGGGGAGGAAAAGGATAAATTGTCAAGTTTTTACTTGATTGCCTGCGCGCTTATCAGTGTGGATATAAAAAATATAAAATAAAGTAAAATATAAAAATATATGAAATTGGATTTTCGAAGACTCTGCAAGATAAAAGTATGCAATATTTGAACAGTAGAAAGATTCATTAGCGTCTGTCTATATTAAAGCAGTCGTCTGATTCCTTTGTACATCGAAATATGCTAAGAAAAAAGAAGTAGCGATTTTTAATCCATTTTTCATTTTGTTTAACGTTTTTGAAAACCGGTTAAGCTTTATTCATCCTGTTTAGTTTAATAAGCACCGAACGATACAATAAAATGGACGAATTTGAAAATCCCCTAACAACATACATATTCCAATG